AAACAAATACGAAAGGATCGTTGCCTAAGTCTACTACAGATGCTTATAAACGTATGAGATGTCAAATAGGATACTGTAAAGAAAATAAAACCAACAAAATTTGCTCTAAATGTAAAAAATATGTTTGCGGAAAATGTACAATGGAAACACTTATATGTAAAAAATGCGTTGAACTATGAATTAAAAATTTTTATTTTTTGCTTTTGTAATAGAAATGCTCAACATACTATTTTGTTTAATTATAATAAATTTAATTTATATTTTTATTTCCTTCCTAACATCTATATTTCATACATTCAAGCATGAAACATAAAGTCGGGTCATTTGACCCGCTATGGTAGAAATAGATATATATTAAGTCTTGGTATGATTAGTGTTAAAATACAAGTTCAATATATTTTATTTTTCATGAACTATTAATTATACTAATCTAAAAATATTTTTAAGCTTCGATTAGGGTGTTTGGCTGATTTGGACGGAAGAAGTAAGTTTTATAGCTTTTTAAAGACACGGGGAATGTGAACAAAATTATTTTTCTCAAAAGAATAAGTACTATATATAATTAGATTTATTTATTCAAAAATGGGAACTTTATGATTGATAACCTAATTAGTTGTAATGAAGAAGATAAGGAACCGTAGAGACTATTACGTTCATATATTTTCGTCTATATGTGTACTCAATGAGAAAATTGTGATATTCGGAAATAAATTTAAAATTTGTACATTTTTGCGTGCTAGATATTTTAACGAAACTGATGAAAATAATTTTAGTTTTAAGTATTGCAATTACAACAAATTATAAGATGATTTAAATGTCTAATTCCTAATAATATTAACTTTTGACATATAGTTTTTCGACATACTTTGACACACAGGGTTAAACATAATATATTTGTATAACATATGCATTTTTCCAGAATTCTACTGCAACTGAAAGACTCCTACTAATAATTAATTATTAGTTTATGCAGATTTTAAATAAAATGAAATGAAAATCGACAAAATTATTACTATTTAATGGAGGTGTTAGCTACAAATATTTTAAGTATATTTATCTGCTACGCCCATTTTGTAAATGTGAAACGTTCTTTGTACAGCATACAGAGTTCAACAGGATATTCGGATACGTTATCTTCCCTTATTTACAGTTAAATACAAAAGTATGAGGAACGATAAACTCGTTGAATATTTACAGAATATATTACAACTTTAATTTAACAACTTATAATTTTGTTGATGTAGCAAATTCTAATTTCATAGTAGACATATTGTATAAAAACGATACGTATAAGTTTAGTAACCACCAAGCATAAAATGTTTAATTTTACGCGTACCAGCTATACCGAAATCGAGTGCCATTTCGTAATACAGAAATTAAAATATATCCTAAACTTACGGACTTTTGATATAAATAGCTTCATACTTTTCCTTATAGGAAATGACGATCTGTATCTATTAATGATTAATGCATTAAAAGTGATTCCATTTAGAAAAACAAATCTGATCTTAGTATATCATCTACACTTGCACCTATAAAAAAAACTATCGACATTAGATTATGTCCAAGTTGACACCAAGCAAGAATAGTCTGATGTATTTTTTGTTCTATCGCCAAAAACGGGCGAGTTATTCAGGTAGCCTGCTTTCGATGCTTCACCCTGTATACTCACGAAGTCATCACAGTTGACAGTAATGATACAGCCAGGTAGTAAATCGAGGGGGCTCATGCACAGAATATATTTTGCAGGTCTGGTTTAGAAGAGATTTTCCGGCCCAAGATCTTATTAAGCATTCAAAAAATGTTAGGAAATGTCACAGGGGAACAATAATATAGAAGGGGATGTTGGATGTTAGGGATTGAGAGCTAGCTTTGTTCGAAGTGAAGTTAGAAAAAAATCGTAGAGGAAGCTTTTGCACTGTTTAACAGGCTCTATCAGCCAATGATATGATTTTTTCACAAGTGCATCGGTGCATTTACAAAATGCAATTGCACTTCTTTTGTAAATCGGACACTAGAATTTTGTACGCATAAATTGATCTCTCGTGTCATTCTGTGTATAAAAGATAAGGCCCTCTCAATAAAAAGATGTTTTGTGGGGATCACTGCTGTTCGATACCTACTGGATCATCCAAAATTAAAAATTCAAATAGATTTATTTAATATATTAAATTATTTAGTCTTTGAACGAAAGACTTCTTTTTAGTTGCATATCTCTTTCCATTGACCAATAACGAGTGACGTTTTTGTAAAAACCTACAGCGTTACCTTAAAACATCCGCCATTTGACTAAAATCAATACTTTGAAAAGTCTTTCGTTCGAAGACGTTGAATCAGACTCTGAAATCGACGCGTCATCATCAGATGCTGAAATATAAGGTGATATAATAACATTTATGATTCTTCTGTCAATATTATTCCCTCGTTAAATCATCTCACAAATATGCATTTGAATATAGAAGTATAGATTATTACATCGAAAAATTTTTTCTTACATCCCTTGATTACTGAATACAGTTGGACATTGCGTAACAATTTTTTGATATCACTTAAGCTGTTTGCAGCTTCAAAAGTCCCTCTGATTACCTAATTATTGTATTATAATATAACCCCATTATTATAAAAGTCTGTACACCTACAGAAAGAAATTTCATTTACTGCTATCTGAGGGATAATTGTGAATCATATAAAACTTTAGTAAAACCATTTTGGAAAAGACTGTAATTCATAACTCTTCTCTTTCTATGTACATGAGATTAAACAATTGTCTCTCGGAAAAGAAGGAAATATAAAATATTGTCTACATCATTCCTCAGTATTTTTGTCCAGCTAGATTCCTGAAAATTGACCACTGCTTGACACACAAGACAGCTTTCCCTCCAACAACCCCGAAATGCCAGGTAGGTTATACCCTCAAGATCGAATTGTTCTCCAGCAAGGGGAGGGGCGAGTTATGGGTTCACAGGTAATAGAGAACGTTCGTACAGGTATGCAACGTGGGAGAGATCGGTAGGTAGAAAAGGAGTTCGATCCTCGAGGAGTGAGAGAAAGGACACGGTGATAGAGAAAGAGGGAAAGCAAGGAGGAAGGAAAGAAGGAGGAAATGTATATAAGCGACCTGCATGGAAGACGCTCCAATGGACTCTCTCTTTGACCCTAGTGAAGTGTGCACCTTTCTTTCCGTTTTTTCGTCGTTCTCCTTCCTCCACGAAGTTCCATCTACACGCGACCTCTTCGCGGCTGCGTCCTTGTTCTTCAGCCTTCAACCTGCCGTGAGGACGCGCGCGCCAGCAGCTTCCGTTCCGCGTCGATTTGAATCCGGTTGTTCGTTAATAACGAAAAATGGGATATTGAATTTATATAATTCTCCCGAGTTCTCTGTATCATCTAATCGCCGAAAATCGCAGTTACCGTGATTCTCGTAAATAGTTGTTGCGTCGATCGGAAGTGTGCGTCGATTCTCACCCGAATGTCGTTTCTGTGATATGTTCCTGAAGGAAAGTACCTGATCAACGTCGGAGAAATTATGGATGTTCCTCGAGTGAGTACGAGCAAAATTGTCAAATCGAGAAAATGTACATTTATTTATTTATTAACAAATGTCAATTTGAACGTAGAACGGTCCACAGTGTGCTTGATCGATTTCGATTTTACTATAAAATTTTTAATTTCTGATTACCTACTCGCTGAAAGATAACAGTTTGTGTAATAGAAGATTATTATGGGAGCGTGTATCAATAATTTGTGACGTCAGTCATTATGATACAACCTACGTTATAGTAAAAATTCAAATTTTAGAATAGCTTTATTCAATAATTATCAAAAACACTTACGTTTCTTACGAACAAAAAGTTATTTATAAAGTGTTCATATTTTTTAGCCATAATGACCTTTATCTTCCTATAATGAACGTTTGTAGGATAAGAAGTATGATTTTCAAAAATATTGCAGCTTACGCTATTTTTTTAAATATTTTAAATATTTTGTAGATTATTATTTTTTACAATGTGTTACAAATCGTTA